CCTTATGGAATGGTGAACAAGATGGAGTACAAACATACTGTACCGTATTCTACTAAATAAAGGACCTGCTCTGATGACAATACCTCATTATTTTCCATCGAGAATATATACTCCACATAAAAGCTGAAAATTGGTCACTTCATTGATCTACAAATCAGTTACACATTTTAACTTAGCGTCCTTATTTACTTGGTCAATGAAATCATTTGGCAGAATTTTTTCTTTTTCAATTCATTATTTTTCTTTGCATCCAAAGTTTCATTTTTCAGAGTATTTAGGGCAGTTGTTTTTTTTTTGTTTTTTTTTTATTCGTTTAAAGTTTACTGTGTGTTTGCAGGGCTCTCACATCCCATTTTGGGACTGGGGCCCGGGTCCCGGGGCCCTTAGAATTGGGAAAATAGCAGCGTTTTCCTTAGAATTGGGAAAACTTGGGGTCTAAATTGGGAAAAAAAGATACTATTTTGCATTGGGAATGGAGCCGAATATCGGCCCCAAATCTTGCAGATCTAGAGCCCTGGTTTGTGATATATAATATGGTGTATGTTATTCCTGAGTGTGTATATTCATTCATCCTTGTTTGCCCAGTAATATTTAAGTAGGAAACTGGTATTCTTAGAATACTTAATTATCAATATTTAATGGAGAGAACAAAACTAGATATCTGTTTGACAAGTTCATTAAAGATGAATTTTTTTTTATTTTTTAAATCTTTTTTTGTGAAGTTTTGTAGACTTCATTTATTACTTTGATTTCATTCAAAAAAAATGTTTAAAAAAATTCTTGTTGTTGCTTACATATTTGCAGAAAAAAAACTTTAAAATAAATGATACTAGCAATATGCATGATAGAACTTAATGTCACTTTAAGTGTGTTTGTTAGACCTGTGTGATACCTTAGGTCTTAAGCCTTGTCCTCCATTAACTCAAAATCATATTAAAAGTCCTATGTTAAGATGACCTGAAGATAAAGCTGATCAGGAGCTACTTGTAAATAGTTACCTTGGTCAGGTTATTCAGAGTGATTATCATTGTGAAGCATCTGGAAAAATTAAACAAGTGATTACTTGTCATATGAAACCTTCTGGTAGTCAATGGTTTAGAAAGGTAATCTATTTTCACACTAACTAAACCTGATTGTTGTTGTATATACACCTGTGATATTACCACAATTATTCTTAAATAAGGTAAGTTCACCACCCCCTCAAAATACCAGAGGTTATAATCTCTTACTGATTGTTACCGCTGGAAATGCAAACAAATGCAATGGTTGTCTTCTAATAAATCCACCTTGCCTTTGAAGTCTTTAAAGAAGTTGTGTTGGTTATCTCATTCCGAAAATTCTAGGGGTTACAATCTCTGCAGAGATTATTAGTGATCGTAACCCCTGGAATTTCCAGGATGAGGTCACCAACACAACAGGACTCTTAAGAGGAAAGGTGGACTTACTGAAGAACAATGATTGCTGTTATTGGCATCATGTAGATGGGCTTATCATGAGGTATAGGATCGGATAATAAATACGGTAATATACCTGGGCTGTCTTTAAACATTACAAGGCCAGTAAAACAGGAACAAGAGAACAATCCTACTCCATTATTCACTAATAAGATAGGCTCATATTGTAGCTTTAAGGGGAAGGAAACTTATTTTTAAAAATATTTTGATTCTGCAAGTAGAAAGGTCATTGTCTTGTGATATATTGACATATTTATGTTCGACCTTCCTAGTGGCAAAATGTTTTCAAAATGAAATGCTCCATGTTTCTATGCAATGACATTTGAGTGTGGTGGTTCAATCAATATTGAAGATCGTATCATATAATGTTGTAATGTTGTATGCGAGTGGCAGTGTACCAAGGTGTTTATCCACAGTAGCAATCTGCTGCAGGCTACAGTGATAAATTTGTTTGGTGTCAAGATTGGCTCAGCCTCATATGTAATAGCCTAGATAATAAGCTTGGTTTCTTGTTAGGGCTTTTATTTACTCTATATATACTTTAAACCCTGTCCAATTGGTCCCCGAGAGAGTTGATAGAAAAAAATAAATGAAATTAGTTGAAATAATTGAAGTTTTTAAAAATTAGTATGTTTTTTATAATTTTTCTCTTCCTTTTTTTTTTAATTTCAAACAAAAACCAAAAAAAATCATCCTTGTAAAATGATTGAGCTTTTGAATAATATATAACACTTCATATTTAAGATAATTTTTGTCAGACATATAATAAAACTAGTTTATAGTTAATAGGTAGTAGAAAATTCTAGTTGGTAGCCATAGCAAGCAGAATCTTACATATTCTGAAGTATTTTTGGTAGAACAGTGTGCTTTCAAGGAATTTAATTTCCTAACCCTCATGCTTGTATGTGTAAACATATCGGGCAACTGCAATGGGTGAACTGAAAAGCTTTGATGGAAGGAGGTGAATTGAAGGTAGAGAATAGCAGCAGATTTGGCCTGTGAAATAACACCATGCTGATTATTTACTTAAAGTGCCCTGAGTTTGTAATGTGATGCATTTAACGGCTCTATGGTTAGCTGCTGTAATGCACTTCTGTTTTCAACTTTAATTGAAGGTTTTGTTTTGTTTGGTGCAGTGATAATATATGGGTCTCGGAGGTATACGTATTAGTCCTATTGTATATGCTGGGAATTAGCTTACTGGCACACACGCTTATACATGTTAAATTTTAAATAGTACTCGCTTTGTACAGTGTTCAGAATTCTGTACTGACCACACCTACAGACAATGTAGACAAAACTGACTATGTAGTGTTCAGAATTCTGTACCGACCACACCTACAGACAATGTAGACAAAACTGACTATGTAGTGTTCAGAATTCTGTACTGACCACACCTACAATATAGACAAAACTGACTATGTAGTGTTCAGAATTCTGTACCGACCACACCTACAGTGTACACAGAATGTACAGTGTTCAGAATTCTGTACCGACCACACCTACAGTGTACATAGAATGTACAGTGTTCAGAATTCTGTACCGACCACACCTACAGACAGTGTACACAGAATGTACAGTGTTCAGAATTCTGTACAGACCACACCTACAGACAGTGTACACAGAATGTACAGTGATCAGAATTCTGTACCGACCACACCTACAGACAGTGTACACAGAATGTACAGTGTTCAGAATTCTGTACCGACCACACCTACAGTGTACATAGAATGTACAGTGTTCAGAATTCTGTACCGACCACACCTACAGACAGTGTACACAGAATGTAGTGTTCAGAATTCTGTACCGACCACACCTACAGACAATGTACACAGAATGTACAGTGTTCAGAATTCTGTACTGACCACACCTACAGACAGTGTACACAGAATGTACAGTGATCAGAATTCTGTACCGACCACACCTACAGACAGTGTACACAGAATGTACAGTGTTCAGAATTCTGTACCGACCACACCTACAGTGTACACAGAATGTACAGTGTTCAGAATTCTGTACTGACCACACCTACAGACAGTGTACACAGAATGTACAGTGTTCAGAATTCTGTACCAACCACACCTACAGACAATGTACACAGAATGTACAGTGTTCAGAATTCTGTACCGACCACACCTACAGACAATGTACACAGAATGTACAGTGTTCAGAATTCTGTACCAACCACACCTACAGACAATGTAGACAAAACTGACTATGTAGTGTTCAGAATTCTGTACTGACCACACCTACAATATAGACAAAACTGACTATGTAGTGTTCAGAATTCTGTACCGACCACACCTACAGTGTACACAGAATGTACAGTGTTCAGAATTATGTACCGACCACACCTACAGACAGTGTACACAGAATGTACAGTGTTCAGAATTCTGTACTGACCACACCTACAGTGTACATAGAATGTACAGTGTTCAGAATTCTGTACTGACCACACCTACAGACAGTGTACACAGAATGTACAGTGTTCAGAATTCTGTACCGACCACACCTACAGACAGTGTACACAGGATGTACAGTGTTCAGAATTCTGTACCGACCACACCTACAGACAGTGTACACAGAATGTACAGTGTTCAGAATTCTGTACCGACCACACCTACAGACAGTGTACACAGAATGTACAGTGTTCAGAATTCTGTACCAACCACACCTACAGACAGTGTACACAGGATGTACAGTGTTCAGAATTCTGTACTGACCACACCTACACACAGAATGTACAGTGTTCAGAAGTCTGTACCTCCCACACCCACGAAAAGTGTACTTTAAACACTAACCAGTGTACACCATGTAACCACGAAGATCAGAGATTTATTTTATGTCTCTTTGCTTTATATACATCTTCTAGGTTTAGTTCTGTATATTATGTACCTCTTTCACATTTCTGTATTTCTGTAAAGATCAGGTGTTGTGAAAGATTCACTACACATGGCACTTTAAGCATTAGAATCTGATAATTGATAACAAATGATTACCCATCTTGAAAAGTTGGAGGAAAGAGTGAAAAATATTCCGAAGCAAAATCTAAATCTTTCTTATAAAGTAGGAACAAAATGACTGGGATAAAGAATGTTTTTGTAAAAGTTATTAAAGTCAGTGATGGAAATGAGGTTAATTGATCAAAGCTTTAAGGTTGTACATATTGTAGATATGGACTAACTGTACCAATGCATGCATCAAACCAATTAACAAGAACTGGAGAGGCAAGATGTTTTCTGGAATTATTATGTGGGTCTTTGACAGACAGTTTGGACAAGACATCAGCCATTATATATGGCTCTAGGAGACAAGTTTGACCCTGTGTATGTACTATACTGTCAGACATCAAAATTAATGTGATAAAATGCTGTTTATGGTGTCTGAGGGAAAATTATTTTGATCAGCATGATAATTTTTTATATAGTCTATACTGGACCTAACTAGTGTTCAATATTATATTACACAAACACAAAGGGCAGGTCAGAATAGTTTGACCATATTCTTATTTGGTGCTTATTTGTTTAACTTCTTCTGTCTTTTCAGATACTCCAAAGTCCAACCGACCAGAAGCCAATGGAAAGAAAATCAATGAATATTTCAAGGTACAATTACTGGAAAGTTTATTTAAATGTATGGTCAGTGCTGTCTGACAACATGTTAGCGGTCTTCTTTAGGAGGAAGTCGGGTAGATTTTGACAGTCTGTTTGATGGGTTTGTCATAACGTGAACAACCAATTGAGATCTGCTTGTAGTAGACGGTAGCTACATCACTGAACAACATATGGGAGGCATGCCACTTGCCAGAGCAGTAGGGTAAATTGTCTTGCCCAAGGACACTTACAACAGCATAGACTGGTTGATTTCTCAGCTTCCTGAGAAACATGAACCACCAAGGATAGGGAGCATGAACCACACAGTTCCCATCTTCATCAGAGATTAGGCAAAGACTCCCTGACTGAACTATCCTGACCCAATAGCTTTTGAAGACCTGGTTGTTGCATGCCAGAAGGGAAATCAGATAAAAACCTATTGTTTTGATTAAATATAGCTCATAGTTGCAAAATACTTGTCCAAATCCACGGTACTGGATTTATTCTCTCTGCATTCAATGTCAGAACATTAAAATAACCACTTTTAAGTTTAGTGAGTTTGATGAATAAACTAGCCTTGGAAGTTGTCATTAAATATCTGATATAAGTTTAAGGTACGGAAAATGTGTCATTGTTTTTAAGAATCGCAGTCATATGTAGAGAATTCTAAAGTGATGATTAAAGTCTGTAAGTAAGTAAAGTTCAAGTATCAAATAGATTCATACATAATACATCAGATATGACAGAATCCATTGTCACAAGTTAAGGATTCATGTCAAATATAATGTTAGGTCTGTGACATGACACTGAAGGATATGACAATTAAATTTTGTTAAAGATTAGGTAGAGAGCATTGAATCCTGTACATTATATTCTACATGGTTTAGGCAGAGGACATTGAATCCTGTACATTATATTCTACTTGGTTTAGGCAGAGAACATTGAATCCTTTACTTTGTATTTTAACTGATTTAGGAGAAAGAAATGGCCAACTTCCAAATTAAAACCTTCATTTATTGATCATTTGAAATATAGTAAAAGGTGCCTCTTCAAATATTTATTACATATAGTCTAGTTTATGTTTCACAGCAGAACCAGTCACCTAGTCGTAGTGCCAACAGTCAATCGGCCGGGACCAAGTCGCCCTCGCCCCAGGGGATGAGCTACAGTTATACTGCCCCCTCCCCCAGTAATCACAGCAATTCTGACAGTGTTGGCTACCCTCCTGTACCTCTCTACCATTGTAACAAGACAATACAGGTAGGTAATATCATCATGTATACAGGTGATATGCACGAAGGTTACATCAGAATATTGCTTTATACAGGTAATATTAGAAGTGGTTATGTAAAAACGTACAAAGTTCATATAAACTAAGTAGAAAGCTCAGAATGATACTTACGCTGCACACAAAGAAAAAGATGTGACTTACATCTATAAAAAGTTGGAAATCCAAACTGCACTTTTAGATTAGGCCTGGCTGTATTATGTATTGTAGTGTATGATGATGAATTTTGTCTTATGTGTTGAAAAAAAATACAGCTAGAGGCTAAATTAAGGAGAACTCTTTGACCAATCAGAAGCAAGGATTAAACACTGAATTATTTAGTTGTTATCATTTCGAGTTGATGAGGATGATATGAATTGTCAGTCGATGACATGAAATGGCATCCCCCGATGACCCCAGCAAACGAGTCGATGCCAGTTCCAAAAAAGAAGAAAACTGTAATATTTGTATTTCAATGTTAAGCCTAATGTTAAACCAAACGACAGCACTGTTGCATGCTTGGAAACCATGGTCTCTATCATCTTCACCAGACCAGACAAATAAAAACACCAAATCCAAACGTGCCAAAAATGCAGTCCTTGTTAGATGAGTTGCATTGTTAAAAGTAGAAAAAATATGGGAGGCATCATTGTGTTATGACGCCAACTTTGTGTTGTAGCTGCCAGCAGAAAATTCAAGTCAAACAACGGTATATTTGTGACAGGTTGAACCAACCACCAACAAGGTTCAGACTATTTTGCAAAAACAGTATGCAGTATGGAGTTTTCAGTTACATATGTAAAGATCTTAAATAAGTGTTGCCCGTCCTTGTTGCTGCACTTTTCAGCAGGCTGCTATATCAGTCCCACACATTGTCTTTACCTGGGGGTACACAGTATACTAAGGACACAAAACTACGGGGGAACACTGTATTATTTGACTGTATTTACGTATCACTATATATAGTAACCTACATATAGTAAATTACTATACAGGCAGGTAAGGTCTACATACATGTGTAACTTAAACATAAATGGTATGAATGTTTACGAATTTGATTAATTTAATAAAATCTGTTTAAAAAAAGCAAATCACCCTTATGAAGAGAGATATTTCTGAAAATATCAGTTGTGATGTAGGCATAGACCTGTAGCATGGTCAAATCATCTATGTATGATATGAATTATCATCCCTGCCATATGCCATGTCCTGCTGCTGTCTCATCTCTTTTTGATATTATTTCGCATTCTAGTGCATGATCTATGTGGTTTGTTTTTGTTTATTGGACCAGTTGTGTTACCTCCTAGTCATGTACATATTCTATAACAGACTACTGTACTATTGGATAAGCAATTTTTGTGAGGCTCAGTTTTTGTGTTATTAAAAAAAGCAAAAAAAAACTGTTTCCTAGACAGTTGATTTCATTGATAAACCTAGCTCAATAAATCTATTGGTACTAATGTTAACAATTTGTTGACATGTGAGTATTTGTGAAATGAACTAAAATTAATTACTGATGTCAATCTTCTCTTCTTTCATAATTTTCTTATGGCTGAAATTGCACTTTGGAGTACCATGCAGAATATTGACCTTTTCATTGTCAGTCCTGATGAGGGAATTATCTTAAACTCAATGTACTAGATAAATCAACTTGGAAAAAAATCAATATCACTTCAAAATAATTCTCATTAGTTGACTACAAAATTTACTGTTCAAGTTTCAACGCTTTGTTCTTACACAGAAAATCTATTATGCAAACAACTATTTCAAAAAGATTTTCACTCCTCAGAGCAAATTAAACTAATTCAGGCTTATCAGGTTTATATACATACCAATTGAAAAATTGGTATCGTTCAAAATACTTAGTAGAAAATTCTACTTCCAACATATTTCCTGACTAAAATGTTTTAAAATATTATATTCTGGAAAATCACCCCCTATTGGAGATGGTATAACCTGCTACCCCATCATACTTTCTCAAATTATGGAAGATAACGTTTTTCGAATCAGTTATGTTTTGCTGTGTTTCACTGGCAAAAAAAGGTGGTTTTTAAGAGTTATATAAAAATCATGATGTTTAACAAATTTTTTTGAAAATCTGACAATTTCCCAATTTATGAAGGCATACGCTGCTTCTAACTTTAGGAATTAACGAATTAACAAAAAAAGCTCTGCAAATTTACAGAAATACATTACATCAGTTTTAAACCCAGTGTATGCTTATTTTGTTTCCTTACAGACGGACTTGAACCTACAACAGATAGTTGTCCTTGAAAACAAGTCATCAACACACATAGAACAGAAGGATAGCAAAATAGACGACCTGCTACGGGTAATTATCACCACTGTTTCAAGCATTGTCCTTTTACTTTCTGGTAACAAAACAAACACCAGAATTCGAAGTCAAAAAATAAAATAATATAAAAGTGTGTCATATGTACACAATATGATACTGGATATCTGAGAACAAAATGCCTGAATGGGATGTAGATATACCTTAGAAAACTTAGCTGATTTGCCTGATTATGGTCCACACATACTGGGATGTTGATGTAACGAAGGATATCAGTATTTTGAGGTTACAAACATCACAACAACTGAGGTCATACCATGGAATTTGGTCAGGTGATGGAAAGGTTTATTCTTACTGTTACATGCCTAATTATTTAAATTTGCTTGTATTTTTTTACAGCTTCAGAATTTTAGCATGTTCATGAATTCATAGTTATACCAAGCCATTATTTTATCACTGAATTATACTGCTATTGCCATCAAGCTAAGACTATATTTGCCTTCAGCCACTGAACCATGTCCATACTCTCCTTCAACCATTTACCCATGTCCATGCTTGCCTAAAGCCAGTGAAACTTTTCCACATTTCCTTCATCCACTGAACCATGTCCGCATTCTCCTAATGCCATGGAACCATGTCCTCATTCTCCTACAGCAACCAAACATTCTCCTAATGCCATGGAACCCTGTCCACATTTTCCTACAGCAACCAAACATTCTCCTAATGCCATGGAATCATTTCCGTATTTCCAGGTTACCATCCAAACCATTGAGCACACTTGCACAGTGTCTTTAACCTTCAGTTGTACTGAATGTTGTTAGGGCTCTGTAATGAATGGCTGAATAGATGTTTGAAAGGGCTGTCGAGTAATAGAAAGGGCTAACAGTTTGATTGTATATTCCATACCTTTGTGTGTGTTTAGAAGATATTACATGCCATGTTCAAACTTATGTATCAATTTTAGAAATTTTTTTAAAATCTGATTTTGAATGGTTTTAACTTCTGACCAAAGCAATAAAATATCGCGCAATTCTGGGAGTTGTTTAACCAAAGTTTGGAGGCAATGATCGCAGGTTATTGTTTGTTTGATCAAAGTAAATTAGGTGATTCAACGACTCTGTTTGCACTGTTATGACACTATCAACAAAACACATTCTGCCCCAAAGATCATATACTGATCACACAAAATTGTGTCCATGTGTGTGTGTTTTCCCTATAGACATTTTCTATGTTAGGATTTGCAGTATGCTGTCCAATCTTACTTTGGATTACAGGCATTTGGTTTAAATCTATAAAGTTGGTAAGTCGTTGTCTTGGTCTGGATAAATCTCAACTTTTTTTCTATTTTACAGCAAAATGATGAATTACGGCGACAATTAACGGCACAGCAGAAGCTTATAGAAAAGCATAAAGAAAACTTACAGAAATGTCTCAATGTTAACAAGTCATTATTAATAGAAAAGGTTAGTATCTTCTTATACTGGAGAACTTGTGATTTATACAGCTTGGCTTGCCATCTTTCCTGATGTATTTGAGAAATTTTTATATGAAGGAAGAATTGGAAAGGCCTGCTACATCTTAAGGAGAGATGCAACTAGCCATAGTCTTCTGTATGTATGGTTTTAGCATTGTTATTTTGGATTAAATGATGTGAACAAAGGATAATTCAAGTTCAATATCCATCAATACATCAATAATGAATAATGTCATTAAACTACACAGTATGTTTGTTACCGCAATATTATCACACATAGACAGGGTTTTCCATAAGAGCCGGTTGCCGGCCAATTTGACCAGCTGCTTTGATCATTTGGCCGCCTATACCAATCCAGTTCCGTAATAATGTTCCGTACACGACTACACGTACACGGCAGGCCAGCCTCCTACTTTCACTACACAGCCTACTACTAACAAAATTATGGAAAACCCTGCATAGATCAATTGTCTGACTCATTATCCCTGGTGTATGGCAAAGGCTAATTTTACTCCTGTGTAGAACTAACCATTTGAAGCTAGGCACATGAAGAAGACAAATTCCCTTTTTCGTATTTAATAAATATACCAGTAAAACATTGTCTTAATCCCAGAACCCGAAAATAAACCACTTCTATCCATGGTTCGGTTTCCTGCCTATTACTTTTAAAACAACAAGGAAAATACTGACATGTTCAAAGAATATTAATTCAAACTAAAATTTGATGAAACTATCGTAAGAACAAAAATTATCTGGAGAAGTACAAAGAGAATAAAACCAAACTTCCAGGTCTTCTGCTTCGTCGAATGAAATCTCCATTCTCAATTAAAGTTGATGGATGGTACCCTTTAACAAAACCTGTGTTGCAGGATTGGGAAAATTGTTTTACTGGAATAGCTGTTAGCATGACTATCAGTAGGACATGGTAAAAGACTTTCTAATATATGATGGTTATTTCTCCTAACTATGGTGTTCATTGACAGAGTAAGCTGGAGAAAAAGACAACGAGACAGAAATGTATGGGGGACCGTCTGAGACTGGGCCAGTTTGTCACACAGAGACAGGGTGCTACGTTTGTGGAGAACTGGGTCGATGGATGGGCCTTTACAGATCTGATGAAGTAAGAGTTGATCATCAAGACAAAACATTTGGTCCATGTGATAGTATGAAATGTTAAATATTTGAACGTCCATGAAATGGAGCGTGTTTGATATCCTGCTAATAAGGCATGTATCAAGGAAAATATTATGGTCACCAAAAGAAGAATGATATAAACCCTTGATGGATCTAGAGAGGGTCTAGGTGGTTGGTTTGAACCCTCAATTTCCAATTTTCAGAAAGAATACTAAATTCCACTAGCCTGACAAAATTTGGAATCCGTCTCTGTATACCAGTAAATAAAATTTCTGACTGGTTTTCTTAACATTTCACTGATTTGCAATCTTAACAACGAGAATTTCATCAGGATTAATCAAAGAATTAAATCCTGCACAGGAAAAGTCCATAAGATAATGAATTTGAATAGATAAATATAATGTAAATTTTAAAAAAGGTTGATATTTACTTCGGGAACATTGGAGGAAAGGTTTATGTGGTCACTCGTTGAATTGAAGTTATGTGTCGAAAAGATATCTTAAAAATTTTAAACTAATTCAAATCTCAGTAATTTTTGACATTTAACCACTAATGGTAAAATCAGATTAACTGAAATTCCTGAAAAGTTTAGTCTAGTGTCCTAAGTGATATGATATGTGATATTTTCCAGACAACAAGAACGAATATCATCAGATAGAGAAGAAATAGAAAAACAAAGAAAACTTCTAACAAAGAAGAAACCAACCCCAACTGTGATGAAAAACTCCAAACATGACGCTTTCCTCAAGCCAGGTGGAGATAAACCGTAAGTTGTGTGATAACATTTTAGGTCTGTTCATTCCTCTTGTCCTAACTGTTTGGCTGTTTGGACCAGAGTTATTTGTTGATGACTTAAGAACAGACCTTGTGAATTTATTTCACTTTCTGGCAAGTACAGACCAAGACTTGCTTGTCTTTTATCAGCTTTGGAAGTGCCTTCAGAATTTGGGTCCAAAAATGTGATGTCCACATAAAAGAATGTGCCTGGAGTTTACGTGTATCAATGCAAGGGAGATAACAATGAGTCTATTTTGTCTTGTTCATAGATAAAAAAACATATCATAAATTACTATTTATTCATATTCAGATTAATTTTTTTGACAAAAATCCAGATCTATTGAAATTCTGTATTTGATAAAAATTACCTACAAAATCTTTGGTTCAGAAAAAAAACTCTTTGATTTAACATTTGGTAAAAATCTTGTATCTGTCTTTATCCATAACTATTTAGATAGTGTTTTAATGCTATGAAGTGTTGTCTACCTGACTAAATTTCTTTGAATAGGTACACATATATCCCCTACCCGCAATTTATTTGACAAATTTAACTGTCAGAAGTAGTTTATGTTGCTTCTAATTTGATTTTGTTGTTTCAGAATGACGCTGGCAGAGTTCTATGAACAGGATGAGATTTTAAAGTTGCGTCAAGCAAGCCTCAAAAAGGAGGATGCAGATCTCCAATTAGAACTAGAAAAATTAGAAAGGGAGCGGAACCTACATATACGAGAACTGAAACGAATACATAATGAGGACAACTCTAGGTACTACTTTTGTACCATTCTAGTTCTATAATTGTGTTTTCTAATATGGAGGAATTTGTCACAAAAAAGTGTTCTGAAGGATATGTTTGAAGTACAGAGGAGATCCGTTGGATTGTTGGAATAGATCCTTACTCTGAGGAGTAATGTCATTGTTTTACTTATCCTGCACACCGTAGATATGTAATGGATATTTCGAAAATGTCATGAGAGATATTTTGCTTATTAATTTGTAGAGATCTTTGTTTACGATAAACAGGTATCAACATAGAATAAATAACGATCATTGGTGTTTCAAATAACATTGTTGTGACTTAATGATAGCATTACAGTAATCTTATTGGTAACTTTTTACAGTAAATAGGATTGTTAAAGATTTATATCTTGTCAAACATGTTTACGATTTTACAGCTAAAAATTATGATATCTTTGATTCTCTGAAAGCCAGTTCACAAATAGCATATGATGATGTGTGCAGTAGCAGAACCAGCTTTAGGTATCACTGCATATTATTTTCATTGCTATGAGGCAGCCAACTATTAAATAGGTCTTACGGAACACATGTGGCGTCACAGAATATTACCTGCTTCTATCATTTACAAATTTTCTCCTGATTTACTCGTTCGAGATTTCTCTGTTACCCCCTCGGGTATGATAGACAATACTGTACTTGTAATAGGGTAGCTTCACTTTTTTACTGTATGAACATGTTGCTGATTAAAAATGTCGTCAGTCATGGGATATTAATGATGAAGTGATGAATTATAATTCATGACTATTTTTTGGGTCTTATTTTGAGAGAAAAATAATGAAAAGTGGACAGGGATGTATTAACTGTTTTGTAAGAGTTTGGCTGGGCAGCACATGGAAAACCACCTATATTGACAGCCAAATTCTTGCACACCTGATGACATGTCCCATTCCATGGAACAGACCAATGCAAGATTCTAATTCTCACTAGGGTGGGGAAATGAATGGGTAATTCTGGATATATTGTTCACTGGAGTGTGACAAACTGGATATTGTGTTCATCAGAGTGTGATCAACTTTGAAATGCAGGATATTTTATACACGCTTCAGGGTACAAAACATTCACTGGCATGTGATATTCAACTAATAGTTACCTTAGAATATGTTAACTGAATTAACAAACCTTGATACTTAGAGAATATGTTAACTGAATTAACAAACCTTGATACTTAGTGGTATTGTGTGCACTAAAGTTTGACAGCCAACTTATGGAGAGCTCATGTTCACTGGAGCATGGTTCCAAGTTTGTAGAGCAGGATTTAATGACCTGTTTAGTACAATTTTCAGTGTAGTACTATTCACTGGAGAATGACAGAAACTGATAGAGTAAGACATTTCAATTTTCAATTCATTAATTGAAATGTGACATTTCATGTACCACAGGATATACTGTTGAATGGAATATGAACATTAGTATGGCAAACATAAGTACAACAGGATATTCTATTCACTAAGTTACTGTGGGTTGTTGTGTAACACAGGGTATTCTATTCACTGTGTTACTGTGGGTTATTGTGTAACACAGGGTATTCTCTTCACTAAGTTACTGTGGGTTGTTGTGTAACACAGGGTATTCTATTCACTTAGTTACTGTGGGTCGTTGTGTTACACAGGGTATTCTATTCACTAAGTTACTGTGGGTCATTGTGTTACACAGGGTATTCTATTCACTGTTACTGTTGGTTGTGTAACACAGGGTATTCTATTCACCTAAGTTACTGTGGGTTGTTGTGTAACACAGGGTATACTATTCACTTAGTTACTGTGGGTGTTGTGTTACAGGGGGTATTCTATTCACTAAGTTACTGTGGGTGTTGTGTTACACAGGGTATTCTATTCACATAGTTACTGTGGGTGTTGTGTTACAGGAGGTATTCTATTCACTAAGTTACTGTGGGTTGTTGTGTAACACAGGGTATTCTATTCACTAAGTTACTGTGGGTGTTGTGTAACACAGGGTATTCTATTCACTAAGTTACTGTGGGTTGTTGTGTAACACAGGGTATTCTATTCACTAAGTTACTGTGGGTTGTTGTGTAACACAGGGTATTCTATTCACTAAGTTACTGTGGGTTGTTGTGTAACACAGGGTATTCTATTCACTAAGTTACTGTGGGTTGTTGTGTAACACAGGGTATTCTATTCACTAAGTTACTGTGGGTTGTTGTGTAACACAGGGTATTCTATTCACTAAGTTACTGTGGGGCATTATGTTACACAGGGTATTCTATTCACTAAGTTACTGTGGGTTGTTGTGTTACACTGTATTCTATTCACTAAGTTACTGTGGGTCGTAGGTTACACGGTATTCTATTCACTAAGTAACTTGGAGTTGTTGTGTTGCACAGGGTATTCTATTCACAAGGTTTCTGTGGGTCGTTGTGTTACACACAGTATTCTATTCACTGTGTTACTGTTGGTTGTTGTGTAACATCGGGTATTCTATTCACTAAGTTACTGTGGGTGTTGTGTTACACAGGGTATTCTATCCACTGTTACTGTGAGTGTTGTGTTGCACAGGGTATTCTATTCACTGTGTTACTGTGGGTGTTGTGTTACACTGGATATTCTATTCACTAAGTTACTGTGGGTCGTTGTGTTACACGGGGTATTCTATGCACTGTGTTACTGTTGGTCGTTGTGTTACACAGGGTGTTCTATTCACTAAGTTACTGTGGGTGTTGTGTTACACTGGGTATTCTATTCACTAAGTTACTGTGGGGCGTTATATTACACAGAATATTCTATTCACTAAGTAACTGTGGGGCGTTATGTTACACAGGATATTCTTTTCACAAAGTTGCTGTGGGTTGTTGTGTTACACAGGGTATTCTATTCACTAAGTTACTGTGGGTGTTGTGTTAATGAGGGTACTCTATTCACTAAGTTACTGAGGTTTGTTGTGTTACACAGGTTATTCTATTCACTGTTACTGTGGGTTGTTGTGTTACACAGGGTATTCTATTCACTTAGTTACTGTGGGTCGTTGTTTTACACAGGATATTCTATTCACTAAGTTACTGTGGGTCATTGTGTTACACAGGGTATTCTATTCACAAGGAAACTGGGTGTTGTGTTACACAGGATATTCTATTCACTAAGTTACTGTGGGTGTTTTGTTACACAGGGTATTCCATTCACTAAGTTAGTGTGGGTGTTGTGTTACACAGAGTATTCTACACTGGGTATTCTATTCACTAAGTTACTGTGGGTTGTTGTGTTACACAGGGTATTCTATTCACTAATTTACTGTGGGTTGTTGTGTTACACCGGGTATTCTATTCACTAAGTTACTTTGGGTGTTGTGTTACAAAGGGTATTCTACACAAGGTATTGTATTCACTAAGTTACTGTGGGTTGTTGTGTTACACAGAGTATTCTATTCACAAGGTTGCTGTGGGTCGTTGTGTTACACAGGGTATTCTACTCACAAGGAAACTGGGTGTTGTGTTACACAGAATATTCTATTTACTAAGTTACTGTGGGTCGTTGTGTTACATGGTATTCTATTCACTGTGTTACTGTGGGTACTGTGTTACACAGGGTATTCTATTCACTAAGTTACTGTGGGTCATTGTGTTGACTGGACTGCTATAAAGGATATTTATAGATCTGAGTGTAGTATGATATCCTTTAAAAAAATCACAGAGGAGGTGAACTTAGTCCGATATTTTAGTTGTTTATGGGCAAAAAAAAACCCAAAAAAGAAGTTATTCTTGGACACATATTTTCATTAATAAATGTAGCACGTTACATCTACTTATTGTAGCAGTTTGTGTACATATGAATTCCTTGATTAAGAACACCCCAAAAAATGAGTAAAAGTGAAACCTCCACAGAAGTTAACAATATCACAGTACATGTTACCTGGTGCAATAATAAATCCTAAAACCAGCTCAATTTCATCAACTTTTATGCAATAGTACTGTGCAGTTTTTACATGTTTTGATTTTGCTATCTGCAGGTTCAAAGAGCACCCAACACTACATGACAGATATCTTCTGCTGTGTTTATTAGGCAAAGGCGGTTTCAGTGAAGTTCATAAGGTGAGCAACACTTTTAGTCATTCTTAGGTGCAGTGAAGATATCCAGGGTACTTTTCAGGATGGGTGTGTTAACTGTTCAGGATTTTTTTACTTAAGATCACTAGTGATGATATCATCTGTTTTTTGTTAAATTTTGGATAAAATTTCAGAAGCAATACCTTTATGATAAATACTCTTGTTTATCAAATTTTCTTAGGTTGATATCTTCATCTATTTGCCTTGTAGGGTTTTGACCTAAAAGAACAGAGATATGTTGCGTGCAAGATCCATCAGTTGAACAGAGAGTGGAAAGATGACAAAAAAGCCAATTATATTAAGTAAGTTTCTAAGCCTATGGTTTATATTCTTTTTTTACCAGTTGTAATACTCACTATTCAACATAGTTGCTGCAGAAATTAATAAGTTTCCAATAGGCAATATTGCTATGTTAAACATCCTGTTTAACAATTTTTCCCACTTCATGTCATTTTCTGCTGAAAAGAGTACTTAACCCAGATTTGTTTTGAAAAGTTGATCTTAAGGTTCTGTTTTCAGGTGTTCTGTGATATTTGGTGTAATTGATGTTTATGGGTTTTTTTTCAGACATGCTTTAAGAGAGTATAATATCCACTTATGTTTATTTTTTTCAGACATGCTTTAAGAGAGTATAATATCCACTTATGTTTATTTTTTTCAGACATGCTTTAAGAGAGTATAATATCCACTTATGTTTATTTTTTTCAGACATGCTTTAAGAGAGTATAATATCCACTTATGTTTATTTTTTTCAGACATGCTTTAAGAGAGTATAATATCCACTTATGTTTATTTTTTTCAGACATGCTTTAAGAGAGTATAATATCCACTTATGTTTATTTTTTTCAGACATGCTTTAAGAGAGTATAATATCCACTTATGTTTATTTTTTTCAGACATGCTTTAAGAGAGTATAATATCCACAAAAGTTTATTTTTTTCAGAATAGTGCGACTGTATGAGAGTTTAATATCCACTTATGTTTATTTTTTTAAATATGTGTTACAATATTGTACAATAAAAGTTCTTATATTTTTTTTAGACATGCTTTAAGAGAGTTCTATAAATATGTGTTACAATATGTTTATTTTATATTAATGGGCAAGAGAGTATAATTCGTTATGTTTATTTTTATAAATATGTGCTACAATATTATCCACTTAAACAAGTTCCTATTTTTTTGGACAATAGACATGCTTCTAAGAGAGTACTAATATAAATATGTGTTACAATATTGTACAAGAATAAAGTGCTTATATTAATGTGTTTGAAATAGACAATAATTCGTAAGTACTTCTATAAATGTGTGTTACAATATTGTACAAGAAAACAAGTTCCTATATTAATGGACAATAGACAATAATTCGTAAGTACTTCTATAAATGTGTGTTACGATGTCGTAGAAGAAAAAAGTTCTTATATCAATATAGGATAAATATCACTGTGATAAAAAGTCATGAAAATTTCGATTCCCGATACATTACTGATCGCCACTTTTACACTTGTACTGTTCTGCTGCTACTTGTTAAATTTTATGTCTTGTGATGATACTGCATGCAGGATTTATGCCCTTACAAAAAATGTTGATTTCTCGCCCCATTTTAGATTTGCCCAACAGTCAAACATATATTTCAGCTGTTTCAAAGAACAATAACCCAGTTTTTGTCTTTTGTCCTATTGCACAAAGAGACAAAAATCAAACTGCGGTAAAAGGTTCCCTGTATAGAATAATAATTGGCAAATTAAACTCTTGTCATTTCTGTCTACAGAAAAACAAAAACCTCCCAAAATAAAAAACAAAAAACAAAAACAAATGAGTAACAGGACATTCCTTACAGCATCTTAATTTTCCCAGTCTCATTGGGACAATTTAGAAAAGTGTCAGTTGTCCCTGTCTAGAATATGTATGAAAACTTGATTAATAAAAGATGGAATCCCTAAACAAAACCTCGAGCACTAGTATGGGGTAATCTGGGGCTTGTACTCTTTATCAACTTGAAAAATTTGTTTATTTTCCCTTCAAGATTTTGTACAGTGTTAGAGTATTGTGAAGGGAACGATTTGGACTTCTACCTGAAGCAAAACAAATCCATTCCGGAGAAGGAGGCACGTTCCATAATCTCCCAGACCGTTAGTGCTCTACGCTACCTGAATGAGATAAAGCCACCTGTGATTCATTATGACCTAAAACCAGGTAATTATGTTAATGATAGCAGGGCTCTCACACCCCATTTTGGGACTGGGGCCCGGGGGCCTTAGAATTGGGAAAAATAATTGTGTTTTCCTTAGAATTGGGAAAACTTGGGGTCTAAATTGGGAAAAAAAGATACTATTTTGCCTTGGGAATGGGGCCAAATATCGGCCCCAAATCTGGCAGATTGAGAGCCCTGGATAGTGTCAGATTCTACTTATTTACCCACACCAGGTCGTTATATAAGATCATGTATACATCCAAACAATACACTTAACACCTTTTATATACCGTAAAGGAAATTAATGTTGATGGCTTCTATTTTTGCTCTCTTTTTGCAGATGGAAAAAAAGGGAAAAATTAGATGTGTGAAAATGAAATTGATTTTAAAAAAATGTCAACTCTTCACAGTAGTTGTTTCAACTCAAGAGCTAGACGGAATCAAAGTTTTTTCTCCATGAATTCAAACGAAAGAAGCAGGCTTTATATTTAGGATTTATGAATTTCTTTACTTTGTGTTGCTTTCAATGCCCTGTGAAGGATGTAGGGATCCAATTTTGGGCTGTAGTATTATTGACTTACACTCCCACAAATCATTTTTCCCCTAGCTAAGTTTGAGGAGAATTTTACATTAAATCACAAAAATTCAGAGAGTTTGTTGCACTGTATGACAGCTTCAAAATAGGACCCAAGTATATTTGATACGACAAGACAATGATTAACTAAGCTGGTGATGATATTTCAGGCAACATACTGCTTGGTAGTGGGTCTGTCAGTGGTGAGATCAAGATCACGGATTTTGGTCTCAGCAAAGTGATGGACGACGACAATCTGACACCAGACGGCATGGACCTAACATCCCAAGGCGCCGGCACGTACTGGTACATAAATTTTTTTTCTGTTTTGAGTTATTACTCACATATTGAATACATCAAGTGTATGGAACTAGAATAAAATCAGATACAACAAATGATTAAGAGAATATGTCTCGCCACCCAGTCTTTCATATGTATGATAGATGGTACAAGTCTATCAATTGTAGGATTATCTATTTGTCAAATCAATGCACTATTTCAATTTTCTGACTGAATATATTAAATTTAAACATCAAATTTTTCTCAAATTTTGAAAAAAAAAAACCACTGGTGAAATGTGTTTCCTCAAGCCCCATTACCAGACTTCGGACATTTTGATAAGCATTACTGTACATGATTGACTTTGTATTCTGTAAGATCCACTAGTTCATTCCAGCCAGTGATTATATAGTACTATGGCTTGATTTAGGTACTTGCCCCCAGAATGCTTCGTCGTTGGTTCCAACCCGCCCAAAATTTCTTCCAAAGTGGATGTCTGGTCAGTAGGAGTGATATTTTATCAATGTCTTTACGGCAAAAAGGTAAGGATGTTTCCTCTTACAATTATGTTTCTTTCAAATGTCATTCGAAATTAAAAACATCTGCTGTTTTAAATGTCTAAAAAATAATTTTAAAGGATTTTACATCCAGGCCTTTCCACCTTTCAGCAGATGAGAGTAATACCAGTATTAAAACATGAAAAACTAAGAAGTAAAAAATATTGATTTTTGTCTGGTTGTCTTGTTCAAGATGATCACCCTATTCACAGGTCATTTATGTTAGGTGCCTCACTCCCTGGTAAATTCACTTTCCTCCAACTGTTTCTGTACTTTTAAGATTTATTGGTGGTGGTTTCAGAAAATATGTTTTCATTACCAGTGTATACTGATAAATTGCTTGCAGGGTGATTGTTGTTTATCTCTAGACATGTAATGAACTGTTGACAGGACCTGATCATTGTTTGTCTGTAGATACATAATGAAATGTTGACAGGACCAATTTTAAATATATCTTTCTCCCATTTTTATAGCCATTTGGACACAATTTATCTCAAGCTGCCATACTAGAAGAAAACACTATTCTGAAGGCTACTGAGGTGGAGTTTCCAGCCAAACCTCAGATTAGTAATGAGGCTAAGGTAGGTTGTTTACCTCCTTTATTACAAGGGAGAAAAAACAATTCAGATATATGTAGCTTAGGATGGACTTAATAACATGTTTTCTTGAAATTATTCCATATTATATGTTGTGAAAATTGTTGAATTTTTGGCCAAGTGCACCTCTCCATCTCGTAGTAGACGTTCATTTCAACCAATTTGAATTTTCCTTAGTTGTCTCTTAGATATCAACAGTTTAGGCTAGAAGTGCCAAGTCTCAAGAACTGTATGATGAACTATTTAGCTAAATTTATTCTGTATCTAGTTCTCTATTTGATTTGAGAAGTTGTTTTTCACCGTCGGGCATTTATACTTATTTATGTGAGCACTCGGCAGCAAAATTTACTAGTGACATGGACAAAATCGTATAAAAAATCTGATATCTTACATTCAACATAGAAGATACTTGTAATGTACTTCAAAAACTTTATTTGAAAGCGCATTACACTAAAAAGAGATGTCAATGAATAGATTGCAAAATAACCCTTTAATTTTTTCATTACCGAAAAAAAAAGATCACTTTGACAAAGACATTACAATACCCCATAATGATCCAATGCAAAACAACCCCACAATGACAGGCTGTCAACCAATTCCTATATTCCTATATTTTCATATATTTTGGTTCAAAAACCTATATTATGAAAGAAGACCTATATTTCCTATATTTTCCTATTTTTGAAAAATATTCCAATATTTTCAGGAAATTTGTCGCCAATAAATGTAGAGATTGTAAATATTTCTTTGATACTGCTTTTAGCTTCTTTATTTTACAAGGTAGAGAATTCTTAAGTCTTTAACAGCATCACCAACCACCAGAAAATGATTTAGTGCATCTCTTTATCACCTGTATGGGCACCTTGCAAGGCAGTACAACAGGATATTGGCCTTTTAGGTGTTCATTCAGGTGATGATGATGATGTTAATGAGCTATGCATCAGTTCTCGGCCTGGATTGTGGTGCTGTTGAAGTGAATGGTTGCTTTAAGGTAGTTTTTAATCATTGATTAATATAGAAGTAGTGAGCCAAGGTAAGAATTGTTAGTATAAATGCCTTTGAATGAAACAAAAAACTCCTATATTTGTTGAAAAAATATTCCTATATTCCTCCTATATTTTTTAGAAGACTTGGTTGACAGCCTGCAATGATCCACTACAAGTTAACCCCACAGTGATCCACTACAAAGCAATCCTCACAATAATGATTTGTTTGATTTTGCAGAGTTTCATCAGACAGTGTTTGCAGTACAAAAAGGAACATCGGCCAGATGTTCTACTGTTGGCTCACCAAGATTATCTGCGGCCTGCCCCACTGAAATCCAAAGGGTATATATATATACATGAGAAAACGTTTGTAGGTAGTCATGTAGCATCGAGCAGAAAAACAGAAGATTATGACTTACATCTTTACTTAACTACTGCAAATCCAGTGTTATGTTGATGAATGTTGTGGTCTTTAGTAGTTACTGTTAAAATGGTTTCTCAGTTAAGAGAGCCTGATTGTTTGAGTATGTGAATTGTTACTGGAAAAGCTTAACTGTAGAAGTTTCTGGTTTCAGATTTGCTTTTCTCCTATGAAAGGCTTTAGCGTCTATATGTTTACACATCCTCCCATTTGGCATAATGATTAAGCAGTTTTAAGTGGCTACTGCTGCTGAGCTTAGCAATCATTGATTGCACTTGTCATTTAAGGATGCTCTATAATGTTTTGAGTGCCTGATAGTTCAGACAATATCTAACATAGAACTCAGAAATATAACTTAATAGTATATATATTCATAATCCTCTGACACCAAATCTGATGCCCATAGTAGTTTAAAACCACTATTACATGGGCAACTCCTTAATATTGATAAATGTTTTAACATTTCAGACATTCAGGTGATAGTGGTTTGGGGTCCGGATCCAATAGTGTTGTACAGGCGTCATTGTCGCTCAACCAACCATCCAGCTTTACATTTGGGGACAGAACATGACAACAGTGTGTTGAACATTGACCCAAGGGAGATAACCTCCCACAACAATTCCATGTGCTGGCCAAGCCTGGACGACTGTGTATGGGGCTTGCCCCATGTAGTCATGTTACCGTCGCAAAGTTGTCTGGATATAGGGCAGACAGACAGGCAGGCGCAATGCCAGGTCCCAAGGGAGCCTCCGGCAGACCTCACTTACACAAGATTCATCTGACTTGGTGATAGTTCCTCGTCTTAACAGAGCTTGTGTGAAGAACTGCATTAGATTGGTGGAGTTGCTCCCACCATTGTTTGTTGCCAACTTTTTTTATTCAATAAGATGGCATGATATTTATGTTATAAAAATAACTACATTGGTGTCATCCGTTGGCTGTGAAATAACCTGTGGAATCATGGTCATGCATTCAGCATTTAGCATAACAGAATATGGTCAGATCTCTTCTCAAGACTAGTTGTGTTGGTAGGGAATTGCCAGTGCAAAAAGAAAACAAAGAACAAAAAAACAAAAACAAAACCAGATAATTAAACAGAGTTCTAAAAACATGGATGACATTTTTTTTAGCTCTGACAGAAAAAGAGAGATTAAAAATTTTAAAAAATTTGATAGAACTATTGTTCATTAAAAACACTGATCTCACAAACTGCATTAGACCTAAGGTCAACGTATGTATAGATAACAGAATTAAATGGGAGTTATGCATGTTAAATGTGGTTGTTGATTGGTCAGGACAAAGTGTATTGCCTGTTTTATTGTTAAAACATTTTTTCTCGAAGGAAAAGGTTTGTTTTTGAAAAACAGAAATTTCAAAAAATTGCATGTAGGGTTTCATCCTTTTTTTTTTTTTGTATTTAAAAATACAGGAAATTTGATTTTTAATATCTTGGCAATGAATTAACAAGATAATTTGACAAGTTCAAATTCTACTGCCTGAATACCTACACATAGCTGTTTTCTGAATACAGCTTATATCCATGTTCTTTGTCCAGAGAAAAGCTGACATTTGCTCTACACAATCTGTCTTGAGAGAATTTCTAGCCATATTCTTATTTAAAATTTGTGTTTTACACACATTGTGGAAAGAGAGCAGAGTTGAGAACTCTAAGGTATGCATGAGGTTTACGTGTAATAGGAGTTTTAGTCATGAAGGAGAAACTGCTATACATATATATACACATACTTGCACTTGCGAAAATAAGATATGGTTAATATCAATGAAGAATTTGACTACAACAAGTCTTGTTGTACAAGTTGTACCAATTCTGTCAGGAGTTAGTTATATCCAGGATGGTTTGTTCAGAAGCAGATTGCCAACTTTGCACACATTTTTTGTCTTCTCTGCACAACTTTAGCCATGTGTTTTCTGAAATCTTTTGCTGGAAAAGCAAATTCTGTCATTCCATAATCCTGTAATGAGTCTCGTTAGAGGATATATTTTCAACTGTGTAAAATACAGTTGGAAATTGATTGAAACTTTGAAAATGGTCTCCAATTCTTTGTCGTCCTTCAGATGTTGAAAACAGCAAATGTTTTATTTCTTTTGAGATATTGGTGAAACAACTTGTTACTAATATTTGCAGTTTTTTCAATGACAGTCTTGAAATATCTAAAAGTAAAAACAAAAAATCAATTTATTTGTCGCAAAATTAAAACTCACCATTTACAAATTGCATCACATTATTTTTATATTTGCAGGCAAAATTAAAAAGATTCACTAGATTTCAATCCAGGTCTTAATAATTCTGTGATAGTTCTTTGTCCTGTGGCTTTGAAAATCTGATGCAAATTATCTTAGCATCCACACCTGCACAAACCATCCAACTAACTTCTGAATGTCGCACAAGACTGCTGAATGTACAAAGTGTTTGCTGTATGGTGTGTTATTGTTTTGGTTGGAGTGCATGTGTGAAAAGTTTTAGCGAGTGCCAGTTCTCTTAGCTAAAATCCTGTACAGTGTTATTGTGTGTGTCCGCGTGTGTGCGTTTTTGTATGCAACTCGCCTGTCCAAGGGGATTCCAAATCTATCTTGTATAAATTAATCATGTATATATCAATTTTGTGTTGACCTCATCGGATTGATTGGTCCACGTGTTCAAATTACATTTCTGTTTTTCGGGAAAAAGAAAAGGAATCAAATATTATGAATAAGAAAATTGAATGAGTCAGGTTTACAGATTTTTTTTGACATACTGAGGAATGAAATATGTCACAGTTCATATTCACAGATTATGATTTACAGATATTTTGTAGTTATTCGGAGGATTGGTTTTGAAGCATTTTCTCGTATTTGACTTTTCCAGTGAGCTGTTATTTCAAATAGTTTAGATTTAGAATCAGATTTCAAAAGAATGCTTAATAAATGATGCACACATTTAGGTTAAAAACTGGTTTGATTTTGGAAAATTCATTGCAGTTTTCTTGAGATTGACGAAACTTGTGATACTTGCATTTTGGCATTTTGAATAAGTGATTTTATTTTTTTGTTTACATCAAATCTTAAGCTGTTCGACAGTTCTTTATATAATATGGAAGCAACTTTTCCTGAACATTTGTTATTCATAACAGAGTTTACATGTAAGATGATCATTTTCAATCCTCACTTCAGAAATAAAGATTTTTTCCTAATTATGAGAAATTGTTTAGGAAAAAAGAAAAACAAAAAATTGAGAGAGAGAATTTAAGATAGGAAATTATTTAAATTGATGAGCGTAATGCTGGCCCAAGTCCTTATGTAATTGTTGTTGATAAGTGCAACACACTCTTGTTACAATGAACAGTTTTTCTAGGGGGAAATTCTATTGCTCTTGCACCACCTATCTAGAAAACTACACTTGAGATATTTATATTGTAGTCGAGTTAAAAATCCCTGTCTCATTCCTAGATGATTGTGATATTCTGAAATGTAACTTTGACTGATTAAGAAGGGAAAGATAATGCTGGATACAGGTGTTTTAATTAATGTTAATTTTTTTTTTATATACTACTTTTAAAATACACTTGTTTGGAGAATGCTATGATATGGAATATTATCCCATTTTTAGACGAATAAATTTCTGTTTAGAAAATTATTTGAATGTTATAATATTTTTTAAAAATCATGAAATCTGTTCATGTTTTATTGAAGTTAGTCTTTTATCTTTAAATAGCTGTCATGATTTTCCTAACGTGCTGTTTCTTTAAGATTTCAAGGGAAGTGTGTTTATTCCTTTATAAGAGAAGTCTTTTCTTTGTCATTAAGTCTGATATATTTTTTTGGTTTTAAAACACAACAGTTGCACGGTTGTGGAATAAGAATAGGATTATGCATTTTTTAAATTTGCTAAATGATGAATTGTAAAGATATAAAACACATGAATTTTTAAGGGCAAAATGTAATCCAAAAGTTGTGTATTATAATAAAATGAATGATTTTTCAAGGTCAGCATGTAAAATTATAGTCCAATATTACATGTATTTGATCAAGAAGTGAATTGAGAAGTTTTCTGTTTCACACATGCCAAAATCTGTCAATTTTCTAAAATATATAATTTCGGTGGTTTTATTATAGGAAAGATAGTATACACAATAGCAAGAGCTTCTTGTTTAGTCCTTTCAAATTTTGTGGAAAAAGAAGAAACTTTAGGAAGATTTGATTATAACCAGTGTGTATTGGACCTGTTTCTCTGAAATCCATTGTAACATACATCTCCATGTTTTTCAGTCGCTTGCTAGTTGTCTGCTATGCAGTGTTTACTAGAACTGTACTTCTGTTGTGATAAACCTGTTTCAGAATCATGAAATACTTATATGGAATTCCTTTTAAAATGATTTGAAAATCTTTGGTAAATTAATAGGTGAAAATAATCACACTTACAATCTTAATGATGTAAATTGAAATTGATGAGAGCAACTTGGTTTCATGTTAAAATCACTTTGAAAACTGTCTAGTCAAGTTTCATTCATTATAAATATGTATGTAAGGTTGATGTCCCTGTGTGGAGGTGTTTCTGTATCTTTTATTAAGTGCTCAACAAGATGCAAATGCATGGTTGTTTTTATGTGATGTATGATTGCCCCACTATGTTGTATGTGCCACATCCTGTGTGCCACATCCCTTGTGTTCTTGCTTGCCACATGTGTGTTTTGTCCTGTATGTTCTGTTTAACATACAATCTGTGTGCCACATTCTGTCACATCCTGTCAGAAACCATTGTCTTTTGCCCAGTTTTTTCTATCCTGTCTTGTGTGTTTTGCCCTGAATATTCTATCCTGTGTGATATTGTAATTCCTGTGTGATGTGTTTTGTGTGAAGTTTTTTGTGCACGTCTAATACCAATCAAACTCAAAGTCATTGTCATTGCAGTTATGAAAGAAGTCTTAAAATTTTTAAGTTTTAATTTTTGAAAATCCAACTCAACATTTCCCAGTTGATTTTATAATTACATTTCAAGACAATTGGCTGTGACTCTTGTTTTAGTTTGAACTTTTCTGTAAGGTATCCTGAAATTATGCCAAAACAGTATCTGGTAAATTTTTGTGCTATATGAAATCTAAATTCACATTTGTATTTTGGACAACTGTGTCAGTTGGTTTTTTTTTTTGTCATTCCCCCCCCCCCCCCCCCCCCCAAGCATGAATTGTTAACTGGTATTGTAACTTTCCAAGTAATTCATGAATATGCATGTCTTAATGATAAGTATTTGAATACAACTTCTGTAAGCAATACAAGCAATATTTATATTTTTCTCAGTTTCACAGGTTTCTAGTAGTTTTCTGAACAAACTAAGTGGCATTGTCCTATTTGAAGGATATATGCTATTTATTAGAAGACATATTTTTCAATTAAAATTACTTTTACATCAGTGGCTTTGATGAGACCATTTGGTAGTGTGACTGCACATATTGTTCTGTTTTGCTCTTAGTTCGTTTCAGGTGACTTGTAGATTTCATTTTGTGTTATTTTATGTAATAGAATTCAAAGTTGTCTGCCCTTATTCTACCTATTCTATTAAACAGTCACTTTTCCATCATTTTCTTTTTCCTACAACAGATTGTTGATATTTACTCTCTGTCAGTGTATCATCGATGACGGAAATTAATGATTTTTACCTTGACTACTGAATATATTGGTTGTGACTCATCCGTCCCAACATTTTGGTCAAATAAACAGTAAAAGGATCATAAAGCTTGAGCTATTCAGCAAAGTTTTTGTTTTTTTTGAGAAGCATTTCAATCGTATGTTTTGTATTTCCTTAGTTTCATTTTAATGCCCTACCTATTAAAAATTAAGTTTTAAAAAATAATGAAAATAAAACATGTTTTAATGGTCGACAGATATTTTAGAAAAAGATACACTTGGTATACAAGGGAGTTTTAAGACCTGACAGGAAGACTGTAGCTAGAGGCTATGGATTGTATATAACTCCAAAAATTGTGCTATGATTTTTCATTTGATGTCACTCGAGAAATACATCGTTACACGTCGATGCCAAATCTTTTTTGTGAAAAATTCCATGCATGTGAAATCCTGGCATTAAATATATAGGAGGATTGGGACATGGTGAAATTTTATTGCTTTGTTATGGAAAAGGGACATTCGTTTTCTTTTCGTAGAAAATAATATTTCTTAATTTAACAAAACTTTCCAGCATAGTTTTGTTCCATTCCTGTTTTATTGTTTGTAGTAAAATCTGTAATTTGTTTTTTTAACATGTGTTTTTATGAGTTGCTGTTTTAACCTGTTTCCCATGTGATTGAATCGTGAGTATTTTGTACATTTAGAACATCAGTATTTGCTGAGAATTGTCTTTCAACATTTGATATGGAGCACTTTGGACATGTGAATATGGTGAGAATAGTTTCCTTGAGAACTGAAAATGAGGGCGAGTGTGAGAATACATGAGAGTATATGTGAAGTGTGAGAAAGATGTTCTCACATAGTTAACCTTGTCTATGGTGACAAAGGGAAGGATAATAAATTACTATTTTTCAAAAAAAAAATGAAATGTTTTTGTTTTTATTTTCTGTTTTTAAATTACTCCTGACAGAGATGTATGTCAAAAAATCTTTGAACATTTCCTTTAGGGTTTGTAACATCTAATGACTAGAATTCTTAAATCACATTATGTTAGATGACACCACTGCCAATTTCATCAGACAAGTGACCATTTGTACTGAGATGTAACATGTATGAGTGGTAATTACAGACTTTTTAGCTGTACTATTGTCTTACATATACTAAAGTGAAAAGTAGTGTGACTAGATGGCGATTGCATTGAAAATAGTTTGAATTGGTGATGTGCCATGCGTGCATTGGTAACTATGTACATTCCCATGGAAGGGGATTCGGTATTTTGGTATGCATTGTTAGGTCATCTGACCTGAAGGGTCAGGATGTCCTATATATAGCTTTAGTGATTTATCGTCATGCACTGTCCGCCCTGTGTAAAGATTCCATTCAAATGACTCCTCAGTAACCAAAAGTCACAGGTTCTTTTGTTTGGCCTGCTGCAAGATGGGATGAAGAACTGTCAAGTTTGTTAAAATGAATGACCTGACCCACTTTCAAGGTCACACGGGTCAAATGTGTTGTAATTTGTGAACGATTTCTTAATAACCAGAAGGCCCATGGTGCCGATATTGGGCCTGTGGCATACTGGTTTGGAGGGCTACTCCGTTTATTCACCATTATCTTTAAACGACCTAATCTTGATAACCAGAATGCCTAAGGTGCTGTCATTGGGCTTGTAGCATGCAGGGATAAAGCACTATGTGAAAATGAATAACCTTGAGCATAATTCAAGGTCACAGGGGTCAAATATGTAAGCAAAATCCCTTCAGTGCAGATATGAAGTCTGATGTATGCTTGGATGAAGGGTTACCAATTTTGTTCATGTGATTGGTCTTGTCCCTTTTTAATGACTTCTCGATAGAAAGATCCAAACTGTTGATATAATTTGAAGAGCTATCACATTTATTCAAGGTTCTAGGGCCAAATAAATGGAGATACTGAAATTCCTTTTTTCAACAAGCTATAGATCTAGAGTCGCAATATTCGTGTAGTAGCATGTATAAGGAATATGATTTTCAAGTTTGTAGAATTTTTTTTCTTTCACATATCGATCTTTATAGTCAGACGAGAGTTAATGCCCATGGGCCTCTTGTTGAAAATCTGGCCATAGATGTGCGAAAGTCTATGAGTTCCATTGTCGCTGTGTGGCATCGTCCCACTGCGGCGTATTTTATGTAGAACTGTTTTTTGTATCGACTACTTTGGAATTATCCTAGTCATTAATAAGATTGGCGTTATTATCATGACTACCGAATTTGGGAAGTGGGTACATCGATGTATAGTAATCACTTTATGTGCACATGTCTATAAAGCTCTTGTACACAATATATCGCGAACTCTTGGGTATGTAGCTCATATTCACACCACAACGTAACACCTTCATGTTTCACAACTGATGAAATTTTGGTCATCTGTTTATTGTAATGGTTAAATTCAACCTTGATCATTTTTCCAATATGCAAGTTTGTGTACAATTTCCGATTCTTGACAATTAAGTTTATTTTCACATTATAACATAATATCATATCCTACACCTTATTATTTTTGGTGGTTATTGGTGAAGGTCAAAGGTGGGCCTTAACCACTTTTCAAATTAGCTTGTGTACGATTTCTTTTCCAACTCCTGAGAAGACCAGCTCACCTAGACTTAAGGACCAAGAGAGCTTACGGCATACTGCAGCGTCCATCAGTCAACTTTTCCTTCCAGTTGCTACTTGTCATGAACAACTGGGCAGACTTTGATCAAATTTGGTCAGAAGCATCCTTGAGGGAACAATGATGAAATTTTGTATTAATGCATCGTCGTGACTGGCATGGAGCCTGAGGGGTGGGGCCCAATTGGGGAAATTTATAAACATCCTTTAAAATCCTCTTCTGATGAATCCTTCTTTTGTATAACGGTGGTTGTCGGCCCCCGGGGACGGGAGGGGTGGGCCCATTATGAAAAAAATTGATTCCTGTCCCAGTTTAGTCTAAAAGTCCATAGTGAAATGAAATATTTTCTTTTAGAAAGTATAAGCTTTAAACCAAATTTGGTCATGCCTACTCTTTAAGACAAAGTTTACAAACGATAGACGCCGCGCAATAATTCATCGTTCCTTCGGA